GTTTATAGTTATAAATAGTATTACAGTTTATATTATTGTGAGTTTAAATTATTATATAATAAATTAAAGTTTAATTCATGATCCGCGTTGAAACTGTTGAAACTAGTGAAGTATTATAAGGAAATTTACTATTAAATTTAGAATCTGAAGTTTTTCAAAAGATAACTTATTTTTTAATTAAGTAAATATTATTTGTGCTTCTAATTAAAGTTGTAGAGATAATATTTTTAGTTATAATAGTTATTAAAATATTAAAATCAGTTTAGTAAATCATGATATATTAGTATTTTAGTTTTTGTAGCTATAAAAACTAAAATACTCATATATAATAATCCAACAGGCCGATTTTAGTGTTTTAACTACTATTATAACTGGAACTCTTGCTTCTACAACTTTAATTAGAAGCATAAATGAGGTTTACTTAAAAAAAAGATGAGTTATTATTTAGAAAGTTTTAGATTCCAAAAATAATAAAAAATGCATAGTAAATATATTCTTATTTTACTATAATATTTATAGATTTCTATATGAATTACAAATTAATTATTAAATAGTTATATATATTTTGTTTATTAAATTCTAAATTAATAAATAATTAATTATATTTTTAGATATATATTATATTGATTACTATTATTATCTATATAATTATTTTTCAAATAAATAAATAAATAAATTTTATAGTTATAAATAGTATGATAATTATATTATTATTAGCTTAAATTATAATATAATTAGTTATATATTTTTTGTTTATTAATTATTGTTGTTTACAATTATTAAATAATTAGCTTTAATTTAGTATTATAATTATATTATTATTTGCTTAAATTATAATATAATAAGTTATTAAATAGTAATATATATTTTACTTATTAATTATTGTTGTTTAAAATTATTTAATAATTAGTTTTAATTTTATGTATTATTATTTTATTTAATTAATAAATGTAAATTAAGATTTAATAATTAATAAATATTTAAGTTTATATTTAGTCATGTATTATTTATAATTTTTAATATAAATAAATGCAAATATTTGATTGTTAAAATATAATTTTTTCAATTTATATCTTTTATATTAAAAAAATGAAAACTAAATTTGTTAAAAAAACTACAAAACCTAAATCCAAATCTTATAAGTCTAAATCAACATCTATTGAAATTAATTCATCAAAAAAAACTCTTTCAAAAAGAAAAGCTGAAAAACAACCTCAAATAATTAGTGATGATGATTTATATAATTATTCTTATAATGAAGATGAAACACTTAATGATATTTTAAATAGAGAAGATAGTGATATTACTGTTCAAAGTATTGAATCTTCTATAGCTTTAACTTCAAATTCAAATACTTCTTCTTCTAATATTTTGAATGAAACTATTTCAAATACAAATACTTCTTCTAATATTTTAAATGAAACTAGTTCAAAAAAACTTAGAAAAAAAGGAACTAGTTGGGTATGGAAATATATGGAAATTTGTCAAAATAAAATTATATGTTTAGAATGTCAAAAAAATTTGCCTTCTAATCAAACTCAACCAACATCTTTTCAACTACATACTGGAACTAGAAATATGAATCAGACCGACCCTTACCCAAACAACCAACAATTACTGACCTAAAGGATTTAAAAATTTTTGACCAAGAATA